AAATCAACTATTCCGCCATCAGCATCAAATACTAATTAGAGCTTTGAAACAATTATATTCATGGGTTTACTGAAATTTTTGTTCCTTGCTTGTTGAGGATTAATGACAAACAAAACACCAGATGTGCTAAAATCTTGGCTCGCCGGAGAATTTTTGGATTATCAAAGTCCTTTGATCGTCGGATAAGAAGAAGGGAAGGTGCGGTGCGGCGGTTGGGCAATTAGAAGATCAAACCCTCATTCAGGGCGGGGATGCACCAGTTGAGTTTGTCCCCGCCCCAATTAATTTTTTTGGCCCATCAAGTCAATTGGGGGCGTGTGGTGTATATACAAAGTACTTTTGGAATTATTTTTAGGATTGTTGTATTTTGGATAAAGTTTGTAAAAAATACAATATTTTTGTAAAAACCCAATTAAATTCGCCTTAGATCCCTGCCAACGGGACCTATTCCAACTATGGAACTTGGCCGCCAAGCGCTAGTCTTAATCACCAAAAAATTGGGATTCCGAAACCGGTAACGAAGATGGCTAATTAAACCGACCAAAACCGTTAATACAAAATAAATTCGCCTGAGTTCCCACCAACAGGACTTTCCGGTGAACAACCACCGTATTTGGCCGCAGTCCTTCTCTTGAAGCAGTGAGGCTGCATGGAGGCTAAACGAAGTGGAGGGAAGAAGCGGGGATAAGCCTCCCGTACAACAATCCCACATGAGCAAAAATGAAAATGGGAGAGGCCCATCCACGACATCGACGGTTTGTTCCCCCGACCCCGAAAAGGAGAAATCCTCCAAAGTGTCTGCCTTCATAACCTGAAATTAGGGATGGCAATTTACCCACCCATGAGTATTTTTGCCCAAACCCAATTATATCCATTTATATGGGTTGAGTATGGATTTATTCTATATGGATTTGGATAATGTTTGGGTAGGTGGAGTTGGGTTTGGATTTTATTTTTGGGTATGGATTGGGCTTGGGTACCCATCTCCTTGGACCCACCTGTATATTTTTTTTATTAGGTGTTAAAATGTAAAGCAAAATTTTTAATGTACTAAAATATAATTTTCCACATATGATGTTGAACCTATTTGTATCTTCTTAAAAACTTCAGGTACTAAAATGTAACTTTGGCTGTCAACAATCATCGTGTTCCAGCTGCTTCGCCGGTGCCGAACGCTTCCGACTGACAGGCAAGGATGATGAATGATGATGCCGAACGCCGGTGCTCTCCGGGAAAAGCTGGTGGGTGGTGGCGATTTCACCATCTCGGATTCCGTGTCCTTGAGCTCGGCTAAGTCCCCGAGCTTCCCTCGTCGTGGAGCGCCTGCAATTGGAGCATGAACCCGAGGAAATTCGCGCCCGATGGGTAGAAGACATAGGAAGGAACATCGAGCTCGCTACCCAAATCCATCATCGCCGTGCAGCAGAGCATGTCGACGACGAACCCGGCGAGTCGTGCGACGTCAGGTCCGACTAATTCCTTGATGTGGCGCTTCGAGCCCTCGAGGATGGTGGGCAGGAATCGGGCTGGATCGGTGTCCGGAGGCGATTTCACGACGGGGAGGATGACCAATCAGACTCGAGAGTCGGCGGCGCCGGCGGCGGTGAGATTGGTGTTGTTGCCGGATGGCAGGGGGATGAGGCAGATTGTAGCTGAGGGTCGTTGGTCGTGTTTAACGAATCACACGAGAATAAATCAGCGTCCTGGAGTGACTAATCGCCGGGAAGCCATTGACGATGCTGAAATTGCAGGCGACGTAAACAGGGACGAAGAATAAATCGGCCTCATACGGGGTCGTAGGTCCTGACATCGTCGTCGTTAGCAATCGCCCTGTGAATGGCTACCTCGAAGGCGAAGAGATGGTTGATGCACCGCTCGTTGGCGAGCCAATCAGAGTTGTATTTCGGAGGCAAATCGTAGATGAATATCTTCAAATCTTTCAATAAATGTCTCCGGCTCTGTTTCTTCTTCTTGGGCGGTAAAGACGACGAATTGGTGGAGGCAGAGGAGGAAGACTCGAAGAGGGCGCGGGAAGCGACAGTAGAAGGGGATTTGGAGAAGTGGGTTTTGGAAAGAGGGATGGGCTTGTGGATAATGAAGAAGGAGGTGAGGAAATAGAGAGAAAGGGAGAGCCAGAGGATCCATTTGTAGAATCTGAAATAAGGATTCTTCTTCTCCAGCAGCTGGTTTTGCTTCCCGTTTAGCCTCATCTTGACGTAGAACCCCCTTCTGCTGGTGATGGTGTTGGGTTGTTTGAGCTGCTCCGCCATGGCTGATTTTAAACCGAAGCTCATGCGACGACGAACAGGGGAGAAAGGCAGAGCAGTTGGGTTGGGGAGGAAGTTAGGCAAGAGAGAGTGCCAGCACTAATAGTTGACAAGAGCTACCCTCCCCTCCAACACTTGCAAAGTTACAGAAGCAACATATTCATCTGCTTCTCATGCACATGCTAACTTGACCTGCTCAAACTGTCCAGCTATCAATAGTGGGAGATCCCCTTTTGCAAACAGCACAAACACATGCTAATTTCCCTCTTTGTCTAACCACCAGTATGCAATAAATAGGATAAATGTAATTACCTCATCAGCTTGTATCAAGTAACCACAAATCCTAATGTAAACCACAAGTAAACCACAATATCCATCCATGCCACTCACGTCACTGACAACCAACAGCATCCATAATACCTAAGATTACCAGTTTGTGCTTCAGAAAAGTGCAGCATCTTTCATAGAAAACAACTACCCTAATAATAACTTAGATAGATAACTTCAGATACAAACTCCCAGATTCTTTCTCAGTCCTCATATTCCATAACTTTTTCATCATCACCGCCATCATTCTCACAGAATATGGTTTGAGTCGAACCATCAACGTCTGAAGAGAAGATGGCCACACCTGCAAAATGACAGCCAACATCCCCCATTAAGTCAACAAAGCAGCATAATATGTGGAAGCCACATCATTACATGAAACAGTGAAGAAGCAACAAAAAGAGTCTATATGATGAGTGGGTTTCATATGGGAATGGATCTGTTGGAAGTCAAAAGATGCAAAAAGGGAAACCAAGAAGGTATGCACTCAACCACAACATACACAGAAGGTAAATAATGAATAACTGTAACAACAAGTTGTTTCTTACCATGAAGTTCATTCCTAAGCCAGTTCTGGGTGCACATAAGAGCCTCCACAGTCGTGTCATCAAGGCGGCTACGATGAGGGTTCAATAATCTTCCACTTGTGCTAAATGCAGATTCGGAGACAACTGTTGACACTGGAATGGCCAGAATGTCCTTAGCAATCAACCTTAAGGTTGGATATTGTAGGCCATGGTTTTTCCACCAAGATAAAATGCCAAACTCTTTGCTTCTTGGGATCAAACCATCTCACAAGTATTTGTCAAACTCTTCTTTAACATTCCAATTAGATCCAGTACTACCAACATAAGATTCAAAGCTGGCAAGAAACCCAGAACTTGCATGTTGATGTGGCGATGAAGAAGAAGAAGAATCCATGCTAGGTTCTGTAGTCTAGTACTCACTCATAAGATCATAACAGAAGTCTCGAATACTATTAAAATGAAAGGTAGATGTGCCAACATAAATCTTGGGAAAGGCCTACTCTAATAGCTTCATCTTGAACCTATGATCCAATATAGCTGCAACAGCCAAAGTTCCATGGATAACCTCCCAATACCTATTGAATTTATCCAACATATCTTCAGCCATGGTTGCAATAGTTACATTTGGACTCAACTGCCACTCGTTTAGAGCTATTTTAATCTCGCAAACCTTAGGGGAAAATGTATTAGCCGTGGGGTAAGTAGTTCCTGAAAATGTCTTTGTAGCTTCATGAAACAACTCTAGCTTCACACATAATTCAGATGCCATATCCCATTCCTCTTCACTTGGAAAACATACATAATCTGAATCTTTAACAATCAAACGATCAAAGACATCCTTATATATCAAAGCAGTTGATATCATAAGATACGTAGAGTTCCAACGAGTTTTACAATCAAGCACTAACTCTCTCGAACAATCAATATTTGTAAGTCTGCCTAACACATCATTGAACTTTTGTCTTCTCTTAACAGATGAAGTCCAATACACAACACTGTCACGAATTCTCCCAATGCATTCCCCAATGACAGACAACCCATCTTGCACGATTAGGTTGAGAATGTGAGCAGCACATCACATATGAAATATAGAACCATTTAGAAACAACGTATCTTCTTGCAATTTTCCTAAAAGAGCTCTAATCATAGCATCATTAGTACTGCAATTATCCACGGTCACTGTTGAAATTTTTCTCTCAATGTTCCATTATGTCATAGAACTCAATAATGTAGCACATAGAACATCCTTGGTATGTGGAGAAGGAACGTGGATAAAACTCAAAATCTTACTCTGAAGGACCCAAGCATCATCAATAAAGTGGCCAGTTACTACCATGAACCCTCTTTTCCTGTTATTCGAAGTCCCCATATCAGTGGTAATCGCCACCCTACTGCTGACTTTTTCTAACTCATGCATTACATTCATCTTTCCCTTTTTGAATATCTTTAAAATATCACTCTTGATTGTATTTCTACAAACCATTTGAAACAACGGTTGAAGAGAATACGCAAACCTCCTAACCCCAACATAATCGACAACCGATAGAGGAAATTCATGAAGAATAATCATATAAGCAAGGTCCCTTCTACTAGTTTCTTGGTCAAAAACAACACGACTCGAACTTCCAGTACCAATTTTCCTTTTCTTACTACCCAAAAGTCCACCAACCATGAGTGGATTAGCTTTTTTTACTCGACATTTAAACAAATGATTGCGCAAATGAGAAGTTCCAGAGGTGGATTCAGCCGCACGCTTTTTATGGCAGTATTTGCATTCAGTTTTTTTTCAGCCCACTAATTACAACTCAATCATATTCCTTCCACACATCAGACCACTGCTTCCTAGAAGACCATACCATACGACTAGAAGACACACTATGATGGTTTTGATTACTACTCTCGTGATTCATTGATAGACTATCATCATTCATTTCTGAAGCCATATTTCCCTAAAAAAGCCAAGCAAACAACAAGCAATCATTCAAACATTCACATTCAGATATGCTTCAGTTCAAAATGAGAACATAAAACATTAAGGAGAAGAAAGACTGTCAAGAAAATATCACAAATGTAGTCATAGTCATCAGAGTCAATGATCCAGTTAAAACCAGCAACTTACAAGTTCTTAATCACAAAGCTCAACTTCCAGTTAAAACAAGCAACCTCATTGCGAGAGATTCTATAAGATCCATTGTATGAGGGCTTTCACAGAAGAAAGACAAAGAATCATAAGAGAACATTGATAATAGTATCATGCAGCTTCCACCAGAGACCAGACAAAGAAAAAGAAAACAAAATAAAGACGACCCCAATTTGGCCAAGCGAGATAAGAAAGGAATCGTTAGTTCCCACTTCCAATTCCTTATTCTATGTAACATCCCGTTTCGAAAAAAATCGTATTACTGTCGGTAGAAAATTTCACGATTTAAAATCGAGCGTTTTGATAGTATTTCGGCGAAAATCAGATTATCGATCGATCGAATAAGTATACGTATTAATTATATATATATATACCAAGCTGTAACACCCTACCCTATGCGTATTACCTAATCATATTGTTCATACAATTGCAGCGGAAATAATCTCGGGTGTTACATTAATTACAACATTTACCCAAATAAATTTCGACATGAATTACTCGCGTAATGGGCTAACAGTTCTTGCAACTTATCCTGCAAAATAATTCATCACAAACATATATACTCACTGCCATATGTATTGGCTTTTCATAGCCATAGTCACAGTTTCATGTTACACAACTGCATACTATACTCATACATGCTATAATCATCACAACTTACATAATTACACAATATACACATATCATCAACTTTCCACACCTGTGGATATCTCACGCTACATCAGAAGCTAGTATGCACATGAAAAACGTTCTCAAAACTTTTTTACAAAAAGGTGTGGATCACTGGCCAAAATCCCGAGTAGTAATCCAAGCACAGAATAGTTGAAGACCATACCTCATTCTGCCTCAACTCCTCATTCTGCTCACACCTATGTACTTGCTACGGCTAATGATCTGCTTACACATAGCATAAGCAGAGAAAAAGGATAAAGAGGGTCAGCTCATAGCTGAGTGAGATAATCATAGCATCGTGAGTTCATAACAGAGCATACCCCTACCATACATCTAGCAAACAAGCCATAGCACTAGGATGAGACCTCAGCCATCCGACATCCCAATAGGCAAAAGACTCAACCACCTTGACTTATGCATATGCATCTTATCATGTTTTAATCATAGGCGCCTGGCTACTCCCATGCTAATAACTCTCCCGGGAAACATACCCCACATCCCGTCGGATGTAGTCATACATACCCCAACATCCCGTCGGATGTGGTCATACATACCCCACACCACTATGGGTGTAGTCATACCCCGACACCGCTCTGGGTGTGGTCATATCTCGTAAGAATTCTTCAGTCACCACCACATGAGAGGTGTGACTATCTTACATATCATAATATAGTAATAGCATAGGGAGCCCTAATTACTATGTAGTTGACCGTGAGACCACAACACTCATATTTGGTATCCTTATACATGATTCATATCTCATCTTGCTTAATCATAATTCATTACTTACACATGTACTTGACCCGGCCACAATTGGCTCAACATAGGTAAATCAGGAGTCGTATAATTGCACTTCCTCGGGATAAACCCTCGTGCAAGTCATCCTCCTTAAACATCATAATATCACCCTGGGGAGTTTATTTCCCCCACTTGTGGATCCAAATACAACCATAATATCACATCATGTCAAAACACCTTATCGAACAACCAGGAAGTCATATCCACAGTTAAGCCACAAATGGCAACATGTATGCAATCATCAACATAAACACGGTCCATATCGGCTAGGGCAAGTCAATAATATCATACAGCAATCCAGGGTTCAACATATAGCACAAAAGTTCATACACCCCTAATCATGCCATTCTAGTTCACCTAGATCAATTCTAAGCATCAATATAATTATCGTGATACGACAAACCCGGTATGCCGTGCTAATCCCTCACCAGTTCTGGTCGTTCAAACACCGGTTTAACCTTCCCGTACTAAAACGTCAATTTCACGAACGAACCCTGAATTAAAATCCGAGACCGTCCTAATATCCCCTGCAGTATCCCCGTCAATATTAGTTCTAGGCTCCGGGTCAAAATCTCGATAAAAACACATCAAACCCTGGCCGGAGCTAAATTCAGCGATTAGGACCCCGACCTAAATAATTGCCGAAATTCAGGGATTAGAACTAGAGGATTGATTACCTCGCTGCAGGAAGCTCGTATATGAAATTTGGGCTCATTCCGGCTTCCGGATACTCCGAAACCCTAATTTGGCTTATCGGGAATTCAAGAAATTCCTGAACCAAAAACTCGTTTTAAAGCTCTAAATCGATAAATCACGATGTATAGATGAATTAGGCATTACTTACGGGATTTTTGGATCACTTATGCTCAAGAATCGAGCCTGGAAATTTTCCCCCCGACGTTCCCCTGTATCGCACCCTCTCGGTTTCCTCTCGGTGCAGAAATGGAAAGAGATGATGATGTGGGAATTAATGGACGGGGAGGGGAAATGTTTATATATATATATGGCCCGGCGCTTATTGATTTTATATTAATTATATATATATATAATTAATTCCCACATCATCATCTCTTTCCATTTCTGCACCGAGAGGAAACCGAGAGGGTGCGATACAGGGGAACGTCGGGGGGAAAATTTCCAGGCTCGATTCTTGAGCATAAGTGATCCAAAAATCCCGTAAGTAATGCCTAATTCATCTATACATCGTGATTTATCGATTTAGAGCTTTAAAACGAGTTTTTGGTTCAGGAATTTCTTGAATTCCCGATAAGCCAAATTAGGGTTTCGGAGTATCCGGAAGCCGGAATGAGCCCAAATTTCATATACGAGCTTCCTGCAGCGAGGTAATCAATCCTCTAGTTCTAATCCCTGAATTTCGGCAATTATTTAGGTCGGGGTCCTAATCGCTGAATTTAGCTCCGGCCAGGGTTTGATGTGTTTTTATCGAGATTTTGACCCGGAGCCTAGAACTAATATTGACGGGGATACTGCAGGGGATATTAGGACGGTCTCGGATTTTAATTCAGGGTTCGTTCGTGAAATTGACGTTTTAGTACGGGAAGGTTAAACCGGTGTTTGAACGACCAGAACTGGTGAGGGATTAGCACGGCATACCGGGTTTGTCGTATCACGATAATTATATTGATGCTTAGAATTGATCTAGGTGAACTAGAATGGCATGATTAGGGGTGTATGAACTTTTGTGCTATATGTTGAACCCTGGATTGCTGTATGATATTATTGACTTGCCCTAGCCGATATGGACCGTGTTTATGTTGATGATTGCATACATGTTGCCATTTGTGGCTTAACTGTGGATATGACTTCCTGGTTGTTCGATAAGGTGTTTTGACATGATGTGATATTATGGTTGTATTTGGATCCACAAGTGGGGGAAATAAACTCCCCAGGGTGATATTATGATGTTTAAGGAGGATGACTTGCACGAGGGTTTATCCCGAGGAAGTGCAATTATACGACTCCTGATTTACCTATGTTGAGCCAATTGTGGCCGGGTCAAGTACATGTGTAAGTAATGAATTATGATTAAGCAAGATGAGATATGAATCATGTATAAGGATACCAAATATGAGTGTTGTGGTCTCACGGTCAACTACATAGTAATTAGGGCTCCCTATGCTATTACTCTATTATGATATGTAAGATAGTCACACCTCTCATGTGGTGGTGACTGAAGAATTCTTACGAGATATGACCACACCCAGAGCGGTGTCGGGGTATGACTACACCCATAGTGGTGTGGGGTATGTATGACCACATCCGACGGGATGTTGGGGTATGTATGAATACATCCGACGGGATGTGGGGTATGTTTCCCGGAAGAGTTATTAGCATGGGAGTAGCCAGGCGCCTATGATTAAAACATGATAAGATGCATATGCATAAGTCAAGGTGGTTGAGTCTTTTGCCTATTGGGATGTCGGATGGCTGAGGTCTGATCCTAGTGCTATGGCTTGTTTGCTAGATGTATGGTAGGGGTATGCTCTGTTATGAACTCACGATGCTATGATTATCTCACTCAGCTATGAGCTGACCCTCTTTTATCCTTTTTCTCTGCTTATGCCTTGTGTAAGCAGATCATCATCAGCAGCAGTAGATAGGTGTATAGGTGGGAGCTGAGCAAAAGTTGAAGGCAAAATGAGGTATGGTCTTCCACTATTCTGTGCTTGGACTACTACTCGGGATTTTGGCCAGTGAACCACACCTTTTTGTAAAAAGGTTTTGAGAAAGTTTTTCATGTGCATACTAGCTTCTGATGTAGTGTGAGATATCCACAGGTGTGGAAAGTTGATGATATGTGTATATTTGTGTAATTATGTAAGTTGTGACGATTATGGCATGTATTAGTATAGTATGCAGTTGTGTAACATGAAACAGTGACTATGGCTATGAAAAGCCAATGCATATGGCAGTGAGTGTATATGTTTGTCTATGAATGCATGGATTTAGATGAATTATTTTGCAGGATTAGATGGAAGAACTGTTAGCCCATTACGCGAGTAATTCATGTCGAAATTTTATTTGGATAAATTTTGATAATTAATGCAACACCCGAGATTATTTCCGCTGCAATTGTATGAACAATATGATTAGGTAATACGTACAGGGTAGGGTGTTACATTCTATTGATGGTGAACCCTAAAAAGAGCACATAAAGTAAAGTAACATTAACACAGAAAAGGAATAGCCTATAGCTACACCTGCTCTTTCGAAAATTCCCCCCTTATTCCCCTGCATTCTTTTTATCAAACGTAAATCAAAATTTTCCCTAAAACTCATGATGTAAACGAACAAGCAATCCCAGTTTGCAGCATCTTAAATTCATGTTCCTCTGTTTAGTAATACCCAGTTCACTCGGTGGAAGATGAAGCATACCTGAAGCTGGTTGGAATCCCAGTTCACTCTGTGGAAGATGAAGCAATCCCAGTTCACTCGCTTCAATCTCCCAGCGGAATCTGAAACGTGGCGCGGCGCTTCCGTGTCCGATTCGTGAGGCAAGAGAAGCCAGCTTCAGGTCCGCTCTCCGATCGCCGTCTCCGATTCTTGGGTTTTGGTCATCACCATTGTCGCCGCCGGCGGAGGGTTGAGGGAAACGACAATGTTGCCGAGTGAGTTGGACCTGGGAAATAGTGATTACGAGTTACGACGATTGACGAGTGAGTGAGGCAAAGGGTTTTTTCATTTTTTATTATTTTGGTTTGGATTTGGGTTGAGGGAATACATGGGTAAAACCCAACTGGACCCAACATTATGAGTATGGGTGTTGACCCATTAGCCTTTACCCATTTAAAGTTGACTTGGATTTCAGACCTGACCCACATAGGTTGGATATTTAAAACCCAATGGGCATGGGTAATTTTGCCATCCTACCTGAAATCATGTTTGTCTTTGTCTTGGTGGTTGCTGATGTGTTTGTTGTATTTTAGGCACCCAAAACACTGTCGCTTTATTATCGAAGAGGGACCGGGGTGTTGAACAAGTTGATTCCTTCATCATCATCCCCATGACAGTCTTTTATCAACGTGGGTGCTCTAACTCCAGCTGGTAAGGAAGTCTGAATCATGTTCTTTAAATGATGAAACGTTCAATATTGTTCCTTTCTTACTATTGGTGATCCCGTACGACTGAAATAAACTCTGGATTTGATCGAGTTTTCCACAAGGATGCAAGCCAGATGATTGGAACAACATAAAATCTGGGAAGAGGAACAAAAAACCGCCGGTTTGTCCAGCCTTGGATTTACTCTACTCAAACTTTCCTTTCGTTTTTTTCCTGCTGGTGTTAGTGTCAGGTAATTTCCCATGTCGATCAGTTTGATTGCTAAGGATCCTTGCTTTCTTTATCGAGTTCAGAAGTTCCACTATGCTCTCTTTACGTTGGGTTTTCATTAGTATTCTTTTTCATTTGGAAACCTTTCTATAAAAGCTCGAGCTTTTTTCTTGAAGAAAGAAAATTGTGCCAGTAATGAAATGAAGATGATAGTTGTTTTTGTATATGGAACTACTAAATGGATTTTTCATTTTTTTGGTTTTGAGGAACCACCAAACTAACTTCAATGTTGGGATTTAGATCGTTGGCTTCAATATATATATGCTTAATTTTAGGGTGTGCCTACGGTGACATGCATGTCACGGTGACTTGCACTTTCCGGTCGACCTCAGTTAGGATTAGGTCGACCTTACATAGAATTCGGTCGACCTCATATTGGATCCGGTCGACCTCATTTAGGATTCGGTCGACCTAATATGTTGTTTCAGTGTAAAAACAGTTCATGGTGCCTACTTTGGATATTCATATCATACAATTGGCTAGATGGAAATTGAAGACTAATGACTTGTTTTGAAGCTGGAGTGTCCCTCTACATATTGAAGTGATTGAGAGCTCAATAGGAAGTCCAGAAGACCATTTTTGAACCTCATCAAAAGGCTATGCCAAAACTGGGAAACTGCCTAGAAATGGCTAAGTCTGGAAACGTGTTTGTGAAGCCTATTTTTTAGCTCAATTCGAGAAGCATGAATGCGAGTCGAGTCCAGGAGCATCTACCACGTTAAATTAGGTATGTTTTTATACAAATTCAAGGAATTGGATGAAAGATTGGATATCTTTAAGGCTTCAAACAAAAGGGTCGAAGTTGCTACGAAGGCTGTTTTTCTGGCAGACTTCGAGCACAAGCAAGCTGCCAGAAAAACAGCCTTCCTAGCAACTTCGAGCCTTTTGTTTGAAGCCTTAAATATATTCAATCTTTCATTCAATGGCTTGCCTTTGTATAAAAAAATACGTAATTTAACATGGTAAAGGCCCCTGGACTTGACTCGCATCCATGCTTGTCAAATTGAGCTCCAAAGTAGGCTTGACAAACACGTTGCCAGACTTAGCCATTTTCAGGCAGTTTCCCAGTTTTGGCATAGCCTTTTGGTCAGGTTCAAAAATGGTCTTCTGGACTTTCTATTGAGCTCCCAAGTACTTTAATGTGTAGAGGGACACTTCAGCTTCAAAACAAGCCTTTAATCTCCAATTTCCATCTAGCCAATTGTAAGATATGAATCTCCAAAGTAGCACCATGAAACTGTTTGTACACTGAAACAACTGATTAGGTCGACCTGATCCTATATGAGGTCGACCGAAAAGTGCATGTCACCATGACATGCATGTCACCGTAGCAAAGTCCTTAATTTTAACATCTGTGTTTGAGAAAGAATCATGGGAAACCAATTTCTGTCATTTTGCAATTTTAGTTAAACTTCGTGGATTTGAGAAAGCATCATCACATCCTAAATTCTGCACTTTCTACCTTGTGACAATCATCGTGTTGCTATATCAACCAGATCCCTGCATCAGTTGAATAAGATAATATAATTTTTGTTTGAAAATTGGAACATAATAAAAGGAATTTTGTCGTCTTTGAACTATGGTAGAGGAAACCGTACCGGAAGTCATACCGGCTCCGCCAGTGGTAGGGTATTTTGTGGTATTACCGTGGTTCAATTGTTGTGTACCGGCAAAATACCGTTTTTGTAATTAAATAATATTTTTTTGTTAAAAAACCGTACCGGCAGATTCGGGATACCGTTTCGGAATAATACCGGAATAAAATCGGAATATACCGGATAACAAACCTGAATAAACTAAATAAGCATATGTAATATAAAATTCAACAAACTGCAACATTATTGAATTAACTAAATAATCGTTCAAATGCATGTTTACGATCGAGTACAAAACAACCAAACAACATTCTTACACCACAAGTTCAAACAACATTATCAAACCAAACAACATTCTCAAACCACAAGTTCACAACTACCACAAAGGCACAAACTAGCAAGCACTACAATGTTCACAAACAACGTTTCATATCGTCAAACAACACCAAATGTAGATAAGTCTACATTCTGCAAGTCGTCCCCTTCATCTTCTTCAACACCAACTACAATACAAGAGAAAACAAGTAAGAATTATTATCAATTATTAGTATTAGAATTCATATCATACATAATTGATTTACAAACAAACCTTCCTCTTCTAATGCTCGATCCAGCTTGTCAATATCCAATTCCTTTTCCCTAGAAGATGAACCTTCTTCCCCTTGTGACAACCAGTGACTAGTAACAGTAGAATCAATGCTTTCAAGGCTTATGGGATCATATGATTCTTTTTTGTTCTTGTTATAATACTCCCTAATCAAAGTAGAAAACATAAAATAATTCAATTCAATAGTAAAGGAAAGCCCATAATCATAGTTCAAATCCACCAAATATTTATTGCAAGAACCAATCATTTCAAATCCACCAAATATTTATTTTGGAAGATGCAAACTCTTCCTATGAAATCTGCTACATTGCTATAGAGAATCCAACCAAGTTGCCGATTGCTATAATGACAGGGAGATGTCCTGCAAACTACAAGCAATTCAATCCAACAGATACGCATTTCCTCAACTAACAAAGGCAGGGGAGCCAGTCAACAGTCAATGCAGAAGCGGAGCAGTGGAGGAGAGGTCGGAGAGGAGAAACGGAGCGGCGGAGAGAAGCGGCGGAGGCTGGAGAGGAGCAACGGAACGACGGACTGGCGGAGAGGAGCAACGGAGCAGATCAGGTCGGCGGTGCCGCGGTGGGTGGAGCGGAGCAAAGCAGGGATCGACCGATCGAGGCGGGTCGCCTCGCAGCCGGTCGCTAAGTCGAGTTGCTCTCGGCAGTTCCTGGTCGCCGGTCGCCAAAGGAGAACTGGAGAAGAGGAGGAGCGACGGTTTGAACGGAAGAAGAATAAGAGGATTTCGAACTGGGAAGAAGAAGAGGAGGAGCGGCGACTGTGTGTGTTTGGTACTTTGGTTCGATTTGCGTTAGAGATTAGGCCATTAGGGTTTGGAAGCTCGTTTTTTTTTTGTTCCAAAACGACGGCGTCGCTTCCCAATAGCCTGCCTCCGGTTAGACCAAAACCGGGCGGCATTTCGGTTTAAACCGTTTAAACCGGTTTTACCGGCCGGTGCGAAATTCTGTCTACACACATGGTACCGTGTCGCCCGAGCTCGGGTTTCCGGTTTTACCGGTTCAACCGGCCGGTACGATCTAGTTTCCTTTACCATGCTTTGAACTGAACAAGAAGAGAGGCAATATATAAAGGCTGGATTCAGGTGACTTTGAGAGTCCAAATTTCTTGAAGCCGGTTGATTTAATTATGAAAAATAAGCACTTTCGTTATTGTTTGTGCCTCAATGCCCCGCCAACACGCCCAAGTCCTTTCTGTCCGGCGCCTGCCTACACACACGAGCGTAGAGGGGGAGGAAGGTGCCTGGGCCCGTTAGCCCTCCGACGATCAAGTTAGTATCTTAGAGAGAGAAGTGCTTTAGAGCAAGAGTTTTAGTGAGAGAGTCTCACCTGTGTAAATGCTACCAACTGCCCCTATTTATACTCACCGAGCTCGAGGTGGATCTCCTCCACGTCATCGTCACATTAAATGCTTTGTACCTTCACCTCTGTCAGAAGTCTCAACCACTTTTTCAGGCTTCTGACGGCTGGCAGGCGCCCACAGACGGGGGAACATTTGCCAGCCTGGACCTCTTTGGCCCTTAGTGCTTTGTCTCCATGCCTATGCTGCCTGGTATGCAGTGGGGTTTGCGGGCTTCTCCTCCTGGCCCATTGACTTGGGCTACTTTTAACTAAATGAGCTCTCTTGGGCCCTCTCTTGGGCCCCTTTGGTAATACCCCCAACAATTGCCCCCCCAGTTAGGCGCTCATGGTCCCTTACCTGAGTGCCTAACTGATCTCTTGGCCTGGGCGCTTAACATGCACCACTTATTCTCGGCGAGCGCTCAATTATCCACCTAAGTTTAACTTTCTGACACCCAAGTCCTCGTCATCATTCAACGCTCATCCGGCACTCGGGCGCCCGCTCGTGTGACCAAATTCTCTTGGGTTCATGCCCCCCTCTCAATGGGCACCTTACGTTCTGCCCGCCACAAACTTTTTTAGGCTCATGCTTCCCCTCAGAGAGGCGCCCATGTTGCGGGACAGACGCCTGATCTGGGCGCCTGGGTGCCCCCCTCGCGGGCGGGGATTTGAGTCTAACGTATTTTTGAATTCCAATTGCGAATTTTGA